AGTCCCAGTCCCTTTATTTTATTGTTTTTGAGACGAGATCTCACAAAGTTGTCCAGGCTGGCCTCAAACTTCAGATCCTCCTGCCTCATCTCCCAAGTAGCTGGGATTATAGGCTTATGCAACCACAATAGGCTGAGATGCTTAACACTTTAATATATTAACTTTTGTTCTTTTCCATGCTGACACTTGAATCTGGTATTTTGCTTAGAAAGGCTTTCTCCTCTGGATAATTATAAAATATTACTATGGTAGTAGACATAAACTGGAGTGTTTGCAGCTGGGTGCTGTGGTGTATGCCTGTAATCCCAGTTACTTGGGAGGTTGAGGCAGGAAGACTGCAAGTTCTAGGCCAATCTGGGCAACTTAGCAAGCCCCTGTCTCAAAAATGAAAAAAAAAAAAATTAAAAAAGTTGCAGAGCACTTGTTTAGCATGTGTGAGACTCTAGGTTCCGTCTCCAAGGTGACATAACATATACAAGTTAGTTTATTTTCCCTGTGTGCTGTTTTTTCTCTTCCTTCCCTTGGCTGACTAGTCCAAACAGTCACATCTGACCCAATCAGATTCTCTTTCCCAGGATTTTGAAAACTGGGAAGACGTAGGGGTTGCCTTAGGAGGGTCTCAGAGCCATCAAGATAGGGTGTACTCTGACAAAGTCTTGGTTCTTAAACTCATCTTTTGATTCTGCCAGCTTCCCCAGTGTCTTTCCAGTAGACAGCTGTTTGTTTTTTGTAGTACTGGGGACTGAACCCAGGGACTATGTACTAGTCAAGTGCTCTGCTGCTTAACTAACATGCTATATCCCCAGTGCTTTTTGTTTTGAGACAGGGTCTTGTTAAGTTGCCCAGGATGGCTTTGAACTTGTAATCCTCCTGCCTCGGCCTCCCAAGCAGCTGGGATTATAGGCATGCACCACCATCCGCATCAACTTGTTTTTTAAGCCAGAAAACGCTTGGCATTAAACAGAGGAGACCAGAGTGTTATATGGACTTCAATGGGCTCAACCTTTCTATTGACATCTTCACTGTGTCCCTGATGGGATCTATAACACATGCCTTGCTGGAGTGTATAGACTAGTGAAGAAAGCACTGGTATCTTTCATAATAATAAAAATGGGAGGCAGAAGACCTAGCTTATTTGAGAAGATTACCAGACATACCACCATTCTAAAGAAAGGGTCCCCCTTATCCAAATCCCATGCCTAGGGCCATTTCATAGACCCAGACCCCTCAAATAAGAGGGAGAGGTCAAAAACCTATGAGAAATAACTCTGCCAGAGCATATCAACATTCATATAATATGAACCTCCCTATTCACCCTCTCCTAAGAATTTTAGTTATTTACCATGATGATAACGGTACATTGAGTAAAGGGAAATGCATACTTTGGAGTCTACTGGGTTCTGGTCTTGGGCTAACTTATTCCTGGGAACCCAGAACACCACTATGATATGATGATTAGAATGGAGCCTTAGCAGGCCAGGTGATAGGATAAATTTTAGCTTGAATTGGCCTCACATTAGGAGCTACCTATTAGACAGCAAAACACCCACAATGATCCCCTAATTCACTGAATAAAGAACATATAGAAAGAGCAAATGCCAGCTCCTAGAACAGTGATCTCTCTTTACCAAAAGGTTAAGTCTCTAGATGAAGAAGAGATAAGTGCTACAGAAGACTTAAAAGATTCAGTGGTATGCACCTGTAGTCTAGGTACTCAGGAGCCTGGGGTGGAAGAATTTGCTTGAGCCCATGAGTTTAAAGCCAGCCTAGGCAACATAGTAAGAGCCTGTCTCAAATTAAAACAAAAACAAAAACCTGCAGGACAATGATGAGATAATCCACTACAATCCCTGAGTTTAATGATGAAATGGAGTGAATGTTCAATAATTACCATTACTGATGTTTTCTGCAAGCCACCAAACACATTTAACACAAGAGATTGATGGATGGTCTTTAAGAAACTCAACAGATTATGGTAAACTAAATCAGTTGGAGCTACAGACTTATAGTTGCTTCCTCAGATTAACATACAGCCCACAGTGCCTGGAAAATCCCTATTGATGTTCTTTCCAAGTTGCACAGACTACTTGAAGCAGTCTCCCTCTCATGAAAGGAGCTAACTCAGTGATAAATCATCCTAACCTCTCTATGCTGCAATCTGGTTCATCAGGATTTTTTCTCACTGTTTCACAGGACATCACCCTGACAACCATACTGATGATATCACGCTGAAAAAACCTGAAGAACAGGAAATTATGCATCTTAGATATATATGCTAGACATAAGAAAACATTGGCTTGGTTACTCAGCTGAGTTTTCTGAAGGTCAAAGGCCTGCAGCTTGTTAGGGCTTTCTCCTCTAAAATAAAGGAAAAGTCACTATTTCTTGCTCTACCACATCTCCCCAACTAAAGCAGAGCAATGCTTTCTGGGCTACTTTGGGTTTGGAGATAGCATATACTACATTCTGATATACTGTTCTGGACTATTTATTGAGTTATCTGAAAAGAAGAGGCTCTCCAGCTAATCTAGGTCAGGGAGAAACTGACTCTGGTAGATTCTGTGGAGCTCTAAATAAAATGTCTACGGTAAGGCTGAACAATGAATCACAATGAGCCCAGTGTGGTGGCACACACCTATAATTCTAGAGACTCAGGAGGCTAAGGCAGGAGGATTGCGGGTTCAAAGTCAGCCTCAACAACAAGATGCTAAGCAACTCAGTGAGATCCTGTCTCTAAATAAAATACAAACAGGCTAGGGATGTGGCTCAGTGGTTGAGTGCCCTTGAGTTCAATCCCTGGTACCCATCCCGCAAAAAAGAATCACAATGAAAAAAAAGTCCGATGATATAGAAAAAAGACCATAATCCTGTTAGCAATACCATGCTCCCAGCTTAGAATTGAGGTAGAATGGAGAATGTGAGCCTGATTATGGGACACTAGGTATCCAAATGACTTCAATTTCCCATCATATACTAGGTAGTATTATATGAGCAATAAGCTACAAATCTGAACATGTCCAGAAATCCATCATAGCTGGAAGTGATGTACACAGAATACCTGCCACATAACCCATTACTTCAACAGACACTTCTGACTTCCTGTTGATGTCAATGGCTGACCAAGGAAGAAAAAGGCCAGCCTGTATATGATGACTCTGCGTGACATGCTGGTCCATGCTGGAAGTAGTCTGCTGTAGAATGATGTACTTAAGTTATAGCTCTGAATGAGTATGAAGAGAAATCCTAGGAATACCATACTCCAGGAATGTACTCCAGGAATGCTTTATTATAGGCTCTCAGGGAATATTACCTCTGAAAAGAAACTCATTTCATTTCACGGAAATGTATGGCAATATACCCCATCATCCAGGAGCAGTTGGTATTACAGATTACAACACACAGTATAATGCCTATCACAAATCCAGCTATGGTGCTACAGTGGTGTCTTGTGAAATGTGGTAAATGTTCTCAATCATTTTTCCAATAGTCAAAGAAAAGGGTTCAAGCTATTCCATTAACTCTTGCCTGGTAAATGGTCTCCAACTACAAGTCTTGCCTCCCTTTCATCTGTTTATATTGAAGCTAGTAATTTGCTCAGGATTTGACCCTAGTGATTTGACCCTTTGGTGGTAGAACACAAAGTGGTAACTCACCCACCCAATAATCATTCCTCTTTTCTTCCCTGCTACAAGTGTTCCCATTCTGTGGAGGCTGTCTACTTAGGCCCAGGAATAATTTGAACTGATCTTAGCTGCAGTAACCCTATTTTTCCCTTGCTGTGGTTTGTTTAAGAAGAAATAGGTAACAGGGAAGCCTCCAGAAGCTTCTGGGAAAATGTACCTCATTGACAAAAGGAAGAAACAGTCATTATTTTCCCACTGGACCTGATTATATCTCCATGTAACACCTAGAACTGGGGCAGCTGTTTTGACATCATGAAAAGAGCCAATCTACAAGACAAAGCTGACACATGGATCAGTGGAAAGATGTGAAGGTATGGAACTGCTCCTCTGTGTCAAGTCCATTCCTCTTCCTTAATCATTAGCACTTGAGGTCCATCATACAAGCTCTTCTGGTCTTAACAACTGCTGTAACCCCCAGCTGTATTCCCCGTAACTATTCTTATCTTACATAGGCTATTCTCCATAGAATACCATTCTTTAATTTCCTGAATATATTCTTCCCTCACTCCTGACAACTTTCTTCTGCTATTTCTAGTGCCTGAAATGTCCCCTACTCCCCTTCCTCTTATTTCTTCATCAAAAATTTTGACCTGTGATGAGAACTGGTGGGCTAGGATCCCCAACTGGTGGTTTAGACACATTCTATTTCCTTCATGGAGTTATAAAAAAATATAAGAATTTCAACACTTAAGATGAAACCTGTTCTATTGCAGTCTGCCATGGTTCCCATTTTCCACACTGATCTACTTCTATTGTCTATTCTAGAAATTTTGGCCCACAGATCTAGACTCTAAAATATCACATCTTTTTTTTTTTAAATATCTTTATTTATTTATTTTATGTGGTGCTGAGGCTCAAACCCAGTACCTCACATGTGCGTGGTAAGTGCTCTACCACTGAGCTACAGCCCAACCCTCAGGTCACCTCTTAATATGGGTTCCTACAACTATGTACCAGTCCTTCATGTCCTATTTTGTTGTTTGAATTACTCATTACTTTTGTTTGTGGAGTTTCCCTAAAGGGCAGTAAGTTCCTTAAAAAGTAGGGACTGGATCTGGTTTTGCTCCCCATCATATTTCTGGCATCCAGAATACTGCCCTAACACACATGAGATGCTTGGTAAGTATTTATTAAACAATGAAGTAACAGATGCAATAATGAATGGATGAATAGATGGATGGGTAGATGAGGGAGGCAAAGCAAATCTTTTTTCACTTCTCGACCATTAGAAACCTGTTTTTCACTCTTGACTCAAAAGGCCTGACCTTAGGTCTGCCTTCTGTCCTGCTGATACACCAGTCACAACAGAGAACTCACGTTGAATTCTTCCCTGAAGAGCTTATTGTCATCGGCCATTCTCCGGTTAATCTCCTCTTCCAGCTTGTCCACAGGCAGGGGTGGGTACTTCCTGTTGGTGCTTGGGGACCTGGCCAGAAGTGGCACACTTTGGGGCTCTGCAGGGCAGAAAAAGGGAAGGTCATTCAGGTGCTCTGAGGATTTGGCTCCCAGAACCAGAGCTGGTTTCTTCAACAGTCTTTTTTTAAAAATAGTTTTACTATTTTTTAAAGGATGGAGAAACCCCTAATATTTTGGTTTTCTTCTCTGTAAAGGGTCCCCATGCCTTACCCACATCCTCAGTGCGGCCATTTGATAAACGGAAAGAATTGGAGTGGCTCCCAGCTTGTTTATATTTCTTAAACCTAAGAAGAAAATGTTCTTAATGAAAAACTAAGCATAGAGGCAGGACAGGCTAATCACTGGCTTTGTACTCCTGCTCAGACTCAGTCTTTCTAACTCTCTTCTATCAAATACTCAGGCTCTTTTAGAAACAGGTTAATTCACATCCTGAGGCAGCTCCATTCTGTGGAGCACCTCAAGGTATTCGTGCTTACTCTTGGCACACTAGACTCCAATCCAAGTAACACTACCAATATATTCTGGCTTGTTTGGCTCCTCTATACAGGTCTAGTTCTAGAACGCACGACTGCACAGCCACACCAGGTAGAGATAGGGTGAGTAGAATTCAATGAGGGTAGGGGACAACAGAAGATCTTATATGCAACAAAAATCCTGGTATTTCCCTAGTACAGCTTGGGAGTTGCAGGGACGAGAGCTCCAGATTAGACTGACACAAATCTGGGCACACTTCTACAGAATAACAGAGACACAGGCCAAATTAAAGTGAGGGTAGAGGAGGCATGAGTGGATACAAAATCCCTCCCCAACTTTTTTTCTGCAGAGGAACAGAGGGAAAACAGATCAGGTTAAGCCAAAGATAAGGCAGAGTTAAACACAGGTGGTCAGGGCAACAATTTCAGCAGGAAGAGAACCAATGTACCACCCTCTTCTATCCTTTGGGTTCCTTCTCCTTTCTTCAGCTCACAGTTTGAGGAGGTAATGTCTACAGACCCTTGAAAGAAGGCCAGAAAGAGGAAGCTATTACTCCCATGGTTTATATCAGGACAAGGGGTCCCAGAGGAGTTTAGGGGCAAAGTCCCAATTAAAAACAAAGCAAGCTTTTTTTGTTTTGTAGTGCTGGGGATTGAACCCGGGCCCTGTGAATGCTAGGCAAGCATTCTACCATTGAGCTATATCCCCAGCCCTAAAATAAGCTTTTGTTATGCATGTGATTTCACTGGGGCCCTTTTAGGATTTGCTTGAGCAGCGCTATAGCACTGTCATGAGTCATTCCCTTTCCATGCTATTCACTGTCCTTATCCTACTATCTTCTGGACTATGTGGGCTTACTGAGACTCTGCAGTATTGAAACAAACTGCAGAAACATTAGCATACTCACCTTAACATGTACAAAACTATGATAATAAACACAATCACCAGCAGAGAGGACAGGGCCACCATCACTGCAATAATTGGAGTCTCATCTAAAACCAAGAGAAAAGAACAAGTCATTACTGTTTCCTAAGCAGCTCAAGTCAGCTGCTTAGGAAAACACCCTGATGAGGAAGAAGGGCTCATTCAATGCTTCTGTAGATGGTAGGATATGGAACAGAGAGAGAGAGAAAGAGAGCAAGGGAAAGACAGTGCATCTCCCTCTGCCACCACAGGCTACCGGGCATGGAGTAAAAGGGGGAAAACACAGGGCCCAGGGTGACATGACCACCCCATTTCAGTATGTGTTTACTCTCTGTCTCCCGGCGTTAGAATAAAAGCTCTATGAAGAAGGCAGAGATTCTTTCATTCATTGCTCTATCCTTTGAGTATAAAACAGTATTTAGCACACAGAGAGCACTCAAATATGTGGAGGCACAAACACATCCAACTGTGATGGCATTTGGGGTATGCAGGGTCAACCCTATATTCTCTTCCAGCCTCAAAAGACTCCATCTAGAGGAAGATGCCAGAGAAGAAGGAAAAAGAGATGATTTTTTTTTCTATCACATAAACCCAAATGATTTCCCAACACAGAGAATATCATTCTTGATTAAAACAAGGAGATACATAGATAGGTGCTACTTTCTACCTCTTCCCTTATCCTGCCTTCCCCATCCACCATCTGCCAGGACTGCTCACTGAGAGGAAATATCTAGAGGCTCCTGAAATAATGTCAAAAAGAGGAATCTTGCAACCCCCCAGGGCCCCAACTGTAACTTCTGGCTTGGCAAAGACAGGCAAGCCTCCTTCACGTTCCACAGGGCCTGGTTCCCCTTCCACCTAGTACCTAGCACCATTTCTCCTATAGCAACCAGGTTAGGGCTCTACTCTCTCTCCCTCCACAAACTGCACAAGTCTACATTTATAGCTATCTTTGTCATTTACATGTTTCTCCCATATAAAGGTTAACCCTGTCATTTGGGCTCTGATTTACATTTATTACTGCTACCTCAAAGATTTATCTTCTTGACCTCACTTAACTTCTGCAGATACCACCAGTCCCATGTCTGTCTTCTCAGTTAACTTCTCAAAACTGTTGTCTAATATCTTTTCTCTAATTACTTACTTCCAGGTTCTCCTTAATCAATTTGTTCTGACTTGCACCCTTAGTGCTCCATTTAAACTGTTCAGCAAGGACACTGACAAATGGCATACTATCAAATCCAACAGAAATATTCCTGACCTCATCGATTTCAACCAATTAGCATCGTTCATTCAAAAAATACTTATGGACCAGCAAATGTATGCCAGGCATTGTTTGGACAGTGGAAATAGAGAAGTGCTTAGGTGACAAGAAACAGAAAGCTTACATTCCGTGGGGAAAGTGGACACTGTTCATAAATAAGCAAACAATTTCAGACAGGGATATGAAAAACAAAACAAAAGAGTAAAAGGATAAAAAGTGATAGGGAAGCAGTGATAGAGTTGTTTGGGAAGGTCTCTCTGAGGAGATTATATCTGAGCAGAGTTCTAAATGATAAGTAGTGAACCATGCAAATTGGAGTGAAATGCTTTCTAGGCACAGGAAATAACAAGCATAACAGCCCTTATGAGCTTGGTGGGATCAAGACATAGCACAAAGGCCAGTGTGGTATAAGATGCAGCTGAAGAATGGGCAGAAGCCAGATGACTTCCATTTTGTAGGCCAGGGCAAAGGGTGTGGATTTAATTCTGAATGTGATGAGAAACATTAAGTGACTGGAAAGTTTGAACAGAGGAGAGATATAACTGTGTTTGTGTGTGTGTGTGTGAGAGAGTAAGTGTGTGTGTGTGTGTGTCTCCAGTGCTGGAGAATCAAACTCCGGTACATTTATATTCATTTAAAGATCGGTCAAACTGACTCAAATAGCAGCTGGCAGATGATTTCTAGTGGAAAGTGATTTTGGGGAAACCAAGAGTAGTTTTTCAAGGAGGGAGTAATCAACCCAATCAAATACTGCCAACAGATCAGGTAGGATGAAGACAGAGACATGAAACTATACTTTATAAGGCAGCCCTGGAGACCTTTTTGAGTGGTTTCAGTTGACTATAGGGGGGAAAAAATCTAAATGGAGTGAAACGAAGATAGAGGATGGAGACAACTGCTCCTTTTATGAAGACTTTTAGGGATGCAGAGAAAAGCAGCAGCAGTTAGAGGGAGATATGGGGTAAAGTTTTTCCCCCCTAAGAGATGGGAGATATCATACTTTGCTTCTTCTTTCTTTTCTTTTAGTACTGGGGATTAAACCCAGTAGTGTTTTACCCCTGAGCTACATTCCTAGTCCAGGGTCTCACTAACTTCTCCCAGCTGGCCTCAAACTTTTGATTATCCTGTCTCAGCCTCCTGAGTCACTGGGATTATAAGCATGTGCCACCATGCCTGGACCATGCTTCTCTGTTGATGGCAATTTTCAAACATACTGTGGCTATCATCTTCAGATGAGCATTCATACTGGTTGACCACTGCCTCTTTCTTCAAGTATTTTCTTGCTTTCCATGACAGAGCACTTCCCATATTCTTTCTCTCTTGATTGCTCCCTCTGTTTCCTTTGCTAATTATTGTTCTTCTAACACCAGCTTTCTCACCATGAGAACTTCTCAGGGCCCTGTCCTCGGCACTCTTCTTTATACTCTATCTAGCTGATCTAATCAGGTAGATGGATGTAAGTACAAATGATATATTAGCAATTCCCACATCTGTATTGCTTGACCTGACTTCTCTTCTGAGCCTCAGGCTTTCAACTGCCCATCTGCCACCTCCACTGTAAATTTCATAGGCATCACAAACTTTCTGCATCTACACTTTTCCCTTCCCATTCAGTGGCTAGCACTTCCACCCTCCCTACTGTTCAAACGATACGGAAATCTCCTTGATTTCTTTCTCATGCTTACCATCTATATCCAATCCAACTGCAAGTAATGTATTTTATGGCTAGATCAATATCTCAAATCTGTCCACCTTTTTGCCATTCTCTCTTGTCACCATCCACTGTGGTCCCAACCTCCATCCTCTCTTGCCTGGCTCACCATAGTAAGTTCTGACCCCTGCCAATCCATTCTCAAAAAAAAAAAAAAAAAAAAAAAGAAAGCAAATTGAAACATGTTGCTCCCTTTCAATGACTTCCTGGGCCTAGAATAAAGTCTTGTTTCTTATTCTGGCCTATAACAACCTCCCTAACTTACCCCTACCTATTCTATCTCCTGCTACTCTTTGCTTCACTAAAACTTAGCCCCTTGCATCTGTAGAGAATGCCCAGTTTATCCACCCTTATAACTCTGACCATGTTATTCCTCTGCTTCACATGGCCCCCCTTCAATCTTTGCCTAACTTCTATTCAATCAGTTCTTATTTTAAGTGTTCCTTTCCCAGAGAGGTCTTCTCTGACTGCCTCATACTAAATTTATCATCTATAAAGTCATTCTGAAGATTAAATCAGATCATCTATATGAAGTTTTTGGCACAGTTACTAAATAGTACACATTATTAATTTGGTCAGTGTTATGGGCTTTTATTTTTATACTATTCTCATACAGCACCCTTACTTCCCTTGGTAATATCTCTCCACCTTGGTAATTACGTATCTATTTGACTATAGCTTATCAACTGAGTGTCCCTCCTTTATGCCACAAACTTCACAAAGGCAAGGATTATATATCTGTGTTTATTCTCATTGAACAACACCTTAAAACCTACCACAGGATCTCACACCACTATAGTGGGAACTAACACTACTGGGTTATGTTGAATGAATGAATACAAGAACGAATGATTTATCACTAAATATGCCTTTGTTAAATTCCAAGCACAAAGGGCAGTATACCAAGAATTATAAGAAGGTAACCAAAAACATCTAGCTAATACGAAGGGAAAAGACTGGACTTGGCATCCTGAAGCCTGCACACTAGCAGACAGTGTCAGTCTGACTTCACAGGTTCAGGCAGGTCTTTAGAACAGCAGTCAGCAAACTACTGCCCAAATCTAGTCCACCACCTATTCTCGTGACCACAGTTTTATTGGACACAGTCACGTTCATTCATTACGTACCGTGTATGGCTGCTTTTGCACTACAGAATTAGAGATGAGTTGATGTGATGGAGAATGAATGGTTGCAAACTGAAACTATTTATTGTCTGGCTGGCACTTGATAGAAAAAGTTTGTCAAGTTTGCCAACCCCTAATCTAGAACTTTGTTAACTCCTCTCACACAGTTATAGTTTGAATATCACCTTTTCTGAGTAAATCCTTCTCTAAGTACTACCTTTGACAAAATTAATTGCCCTCTTCTTGTACTTCAGTAACACTATGTACCTATTTGGCTACAACATTTATCACATTGGATTAAGGTCATGGATTATATGTCCATTAAATAATAAACTTCTTCTTCTTTTTTTTTTTTTTTTTTTCATTTTTTAGTTCTCGGCAGACACAACATCTTTGTTTGTATGTGGTGCTGAGGATCGAACCCGGGCCGCACGCATGCCAGGCGAGCGCGCTACCGCTTGAGCCACATCCCCAGCCCCAATAATAAACTTCTTAAGGACATGGATTCAAGACCACCTCCAGATATCACAATTTATTCTTTAGGGTTGAAGATATAGAACAGTGGGAGAGAGCCTGCCTAGCATGTGTGAGGTCCTGGGTTTGAGTCCCAGCACTGGGGGAAAAAAACTCATTCAGTAAATACTGAGTGAATAACTGTTTTAGATGAGTCCTGAGGATTCAGCAGTGAACTAATGATAGTTTTTTGCTCTTATGAAGCTTATATTCTAGTGCGAAACACAGAATAATAGATAAGTAAGGAAATGTATATTACAGGTAGTCATACATGCTATGAAGAAAAAATAAGGTAGACTAAAAGAAGGAATGAGGTGGTCAGGAAAAACCACAAATGAGTGAGTGAATGGAACAGTGGGCAGTTTCTAGTGAAAAGTGGTGTTAGGGACACCAAGAGCAGTTTTTCAAGGAAGGAGTAATCAAGCCAATCAAATATTGCCAACAGATAATGTAGACTGGCATTCTTCCTTATCTATTGTTTACGACTACGTATGTTATCTGTCGGCAACCTATCAGGCATATTGTTTATGACTACTAAGAGAACTGACAATTACAAGCAATATGGAAATAAGGGATGCACCTAGCTAATTTAGAAATCATTATACATATGTTGCTGGCACACAGCAGAGCTCAATCCTATATTGTAAAATTCTTACATATCATTTTTATAACCCTATTTTACAGATGAGGAAACTGAGCTGAGAAATTAAATAACTTGCTCAGGATTACACAGCTGCAAATCTAAAGCAAGAAAACAAATTTACACTATTTTCTAGACTCTTGATAAATTATAGGATCAAGAGCACTTTAATTCTCTCAAGCTTACAGGCCAGAACAGTCCACCCTCATTAAAAGTCACATTTTATTAGAATTATTCTCATGTTTCTGTTGTGATTAGAAGACAAAACAGAGAGCACAGATGTCCCCAGACTGCTGTGAGGGAAGGAGACTCAGCTCAATTAAGGGAATCAGAGAAAACTTAGTTCCCTGTGCTTGGATATAGCCTCAGAGTCAAGTCACGCTCCTATGGTCCCTGCAAGACCAAACAGATTCATCACTTATGTTCAGGACTGTCCTGGACTTGGTAATCCAAAGAGATGGACCTGCACAATGCAGGCTGGTACAGCGAAGGTCTGTTCCATCCTGCCCAATAACTTTGTTCTCAACTCCCATTCTAACAAAGTTTCACTCTCTAGACTCAGGCCAGGGGTGCAAGCATTTCAAAACACAAACAAGGCATCGTGAGACAACAAATGTCTACTTGCTATACCTCTTTTTCAATAAAATCAAAGGGTCATATTAATCTAACAGCTCACATGTAGATAAGTGAATTATATAAGTTCTTAAAATATACTTTGGTTAAGTACAAACAGTGAAATCAAACTCCTATACACCTAGTCCCTAAAGCTCATTTATTTATCTTGTGTTCACACTTTTTAGAAGTATTTATTGAGTCTCAAAGGTGTAATATTGTTTCAAGTACCATTCAGAAACCTTGATATCCATTGTTCATCTGTCTTCCCTAAGGCCTCTGGATAATCTTTCTAGAACAAAACTGATCATGTCACTTCCTCCCTCCCTACCACCTACAGGAGATTCTCTTGACCCCTGAGCTCCATGTACCACCAGGCCAATTCTGTTGAGGCCACCTCTGACCACTCTTTACCTTGTGTACATCAACTCTGCAGAGTTCCTCAACATGATTTGTTCTTTCATGTCTCCCGCTTTTGCCCTCCCTACCTGGTATATCATTTTCCCCATTACTGTTTTAAACTGCCCAAAGCTCATCTCTGTGCCTCCTTCCCATTTCCCAGGTATAAAGAGTCTTCTGAGTTCTCTGAGTACTCTGTGCAGGACATCTAATAGCATGTAATTGAATGGACTTTGATTCCAGGAGTTCACATATTTCCTCCAAGACAGAAAGAATTTTCTTTTTCTTTGCTAGAATCCTCAGCATCTAACAGGTACTGAATGAATACTAAATGTATTATTAAAGGTGCTTAGGGAAAATCATACATGGAATTCACAAGAATAATGTTGCTTACTATGATAATCCAAGAACACATCTTTAAACAAGAATGTTAACCCCATTATGGACTCCAGCTCTTCAAAATACTGAAGGAGAAAGCCAGGGGAAGAGGATCCAGATGATATGAAGAGCTGAGAAACTTTAAGGAGTCTGTGGGTTTCAGTAGAATGCTTATCCTCACTGGTTCTGGAACTCTGTAGGTCAGGGACTCTTTTATAAAAATAAGACGGCATTATTTTCTTATTTTAAAAGGCAGCTAAGTAAATGATTACATCTAAAATAATTTTAGAGTACATTTGTAACCAGCTTTATCTTTTAAAATTTTTTAGTTGTAGATGAATATAATACCTTTATATTATTTATTTTTATGTGATGCTGAACCCAGTACCTCACGTGTGCTAGGTGAGCACTCCACCACTGAGCCACAACCCCAGCCCCAACTTTATCTTTGATATTTAACAAATACCACTTGAAAGGTCTTCACAAGACTGCCCCCTCCTCCGCAAAAGAATCAAATTACTAAAACTAAAAAGTAGGGCAAGACAGATTTAAGCAAAATTTTGTTTAAAAGATACAAGGCAAGGGCTTGGGGTTGTGGCTCAGCGGTAGAGCGCTCGCCTAGCACATGCAAGGTGCTACGTTCAATCCTCAGCACCACATAAAAATAAATAAAATAAAGGTATTGTGCCCAACTATAACTAAAAAAATATTAAACAAAAAAAAATACAAGGCAGCAGGTTGCTGTGATACACCTGTAATTCCAACTACTTGGGAGACTGAGGTAGGAGGACTACAAAATCAAAGCCAGACTGGACAACTTAGAGAGAAGCTGTCTCAAAAAATTTAAAAGGACCGAGGTTATAGATTAATGGATATAGCTTAGCAGTACAGCACTTGCCTTGCATGTGTGAGGCCCTGGGTTCAATTCCCCGGACTGCAATCAATAGTAAAGGGCAGGGAACTGGCAGGGAACTGCACTTGTGGTTGTATGGTTACACAACAGGTTCCTAGTGGTTTGTGAGAATGGTTGAAATTCTCAGGTCTAATAGCAATGGTAGCAGAAAGGTGGTGGTAACATAAAGATAATAATATGACAGCTAACACTAGCTGAGCAATTGTTATGTACTGATCTCAGCACTTCATATGCAATATCTCGTTTCTCACAACAACCCTGTGAAAGAGACAATGTTCCTATCCCATTTTGAAAATGGAAAAGTGAGGCACAAGGAAGTTACACATCTACTCATCCTGCTAGTAAGCAGCAGGCTTAAGACACCAACCCAGGTGGTCTGACTTCAGAGCCCATGCTTTTAAGTACTGCACTACACAGTCTCCTCATATATTCTACTATTTGTGCATTCTCCAGCCTCAATACATATGTCAAAATCAATAGCATTTTCTTAGATGGGAAAATCTTTATTTGCAAGTGGCATCCCTATCTTGTTCAGACTTCACAGGAACTATAATGGATAGCAAAATCTCCTTCAAGACCAAAGAACCTATTCCCCCAGCTGCTGGGAGGGTTAGTGGCTAATAGCTCTGAGCTATGTCTATTCCCAAGAACTGTACTTGGCCTAAGAGAGCCTGGCCCAGGGGATTCCAGATCCAGAGTTTCCTATGTGATTGGCCTTAGCTCTGATCACATGATGTCTCATTTCCTTCATCTATCCAATACTTCTGCCTTCCCTCCAAGGTGCTATAAGAAGAAAATACTTTCCCAGTAAACGTGTTACATGCAAATCTCTATCCCAGTTTATAACTAATAATTGAGCTATAAAACCAGTGAAGGCCAAGTAACAATTGGAAAACATAGTCATTATGACCAATGACTTCAGTGCTAAGGAGTTACTTGGCAGACAATGCCAGACTAATTTCAATGCATTACTACATATTACATAAATTATCCAAACTGACACCAATAAAAATGCTTGAATAAAGGAAACTAGTTCCAAAAGGACAATGTATAATAATGGCATTTAAATGAGGCATGTAGAATAGACAAATTCATGAAGTACAATAATGGTTTCCAGGGGCTGCAAGGAGGAGGAAAAGGAAGTTATTGTTTCATTTGGGATGATAAAGAAAAGTTCTGGAGATGCATGGTTCACAATGATAAATGTACCTAATGCCACTGTACACTTAAAAATGATTAAAAGGTCAATTTTATGTTAGATATATTTTACATAATTTTTCTTTTCTTTTTTTGGTGGTGCTAATAGTAGAAAACAGTAAAATATTCTTTTATTAAGAAAATATAATTAGAAAGTAACAAAGTAAGAAATGAACAAAGTAGATTATGAGATTAATATGAAAACAAGCGAAAGTAAACAAAAAACACAGACACAGAGGTACAAGGTTACCAGACTGAGCAGAGGAAACACTGAAGAATACACTGTGTAAAAGGGACAACAGATACAAGGTGAGCAGCTCACCTCTTCTGTCCTTCGAGTCAGAATTACCTGTGTAATAAGTGACAAATAAAAACATTCACTCAGGTTAAAGAAAAACATTACTAATCAATTTAAGGTAAAAACAAAACAAGCTCCAGGAATATAGATACTCTTTCTCCAGGTACAATGTTGGCCTAGAAGGAGGTATCCTCCAACAACTGAGAAATAAAATTGTCCAGATTCACTAAACTTTAGTCAGCAGCCTGGCCTTCTTTTTGAGTACACAAATAATGTAACATCAATATTCATAAAAAGTATAAGAATGCAAGAAGAAATACAAATTACAGAACTTTATATTTCAGGAGTTCATATCTTTTGGATCATTAAAACTCAAAAGGACAAAATGAAGGAAGGATATAAGACCTAAATGATAAGAGGTAATAAAACCTAACTGGTATATACCCAATTCTATATAATTACAGAGAAAATCTTTTCAAAGACCTGTGGAACATCTGTGAGTTCTTACAAATTCCCAGGAATAAAAAACAGTACAATATTCTTTTATCACCATACAATAGAATTAAAAATTAACAAAGTAAATTTGATTAAAAATCAAAATCCACATCAAAATAAAAAACATCTAAAAATAATAATAATAAAATAGAGGTATAGCTTAGTGGTAGAGAACTTGCCTAATACATGCAAAGCCCTGGATTTGGTCCCCAGCACAGCAAAACCAAGCAAAACACAATGATGAAAACACCTCTTCTTGCCTTTGGTACAGACCTCTTATTTTTTAGCTGAGCACAAAGTTGTCCAGCTAGAGACTATATTTCTAAGAATCCTTTGTGCCAGAGTCATGTGATAAATTCCAGCTAATGGGATGTGAGCAAAAGCAATGTGGTAATTTCCAGGTCACATCTTTTGGAAAAGAAATTGTTTATCTCCATTCCCTCTGTTCTCAGAACCTAGAACTAAGGTCCAATGATGAAAGCAGATAATCAAGAAGATAAAAGCAATATTGTTGGGATGAAGAAAAAAAAAAAAAACAAAGAGACTTGGACCCTGATAAGGCAAAGCACTCTGCCCACCTCTGGGGAGAGAAAGATACCGTGGTCTTACTTCAGTCACTGGATTTTGGTGTATCTTTGCTAGAGCAGCTCATACTGAATCTTGATTAACACGACTAAGTACAGGAATACCTATGGAGTATGTATGTCTAAAACTGTGCTTGTACAAAATTCACAACATTAAATATGTTAATTAACACAAAGAATGATAATAATTAAGCATTCAAGATAGCAGTCTGCACAAAATAAATTTAAAGAAGGCAAAAAGAACAGGAATTTAAAAATATCAGTGAAATTAAAACTGAAAAATGAGAGAATAAATAGTAGGTTCTTTGGAAGAAAAAAAGCAAAGGACCATGAACTCAAACAAGAAAACAAAGAATATTAAAAAATATGCAAAGAGAACTATTCATAGCTATGCAGGAAATTAAATAATTTTAAGAAACAACTTTTCCTCAAATTCATTCAAATAAACTTTGTGAGTTGAATGGCTGGTTTCCTATGTAAATTTTCAGATTCTTTTCATGAAACAAAACACTGATGAATTAAAACTTATCAAAAACCACAGATCAAGTTCATTTAGAAGTTACTTGCCAGTATCAAAGGGAAAAATCCTATATAAAATAATATCAAACAGATTGCAACAGTTTGTTACGAAAATGATACATTACCAAGGTGAGTTTTGCAGGAATGTAGACAGTTTAGAATTTTAAAAATCTATTAATATAATCTACCATAGCAACAGAACAAAAAAGAAAACAAACAGATCTTGCTGACACCAAACAAGCAACTGGCAAAATTTAATGGCTATACATAAATCTTCATTAAAACTGGAATAGCCACGGGCTGGGATCAGCGGTAGAGTGCTTGCCTGGCACGTGCGAGGCCCTGGGTTCAATCCTCAACACTACATAAAAATAAATAAAATAAAAGTATTGTGTCCAACTACAACTAAAAAATAAATATTAAAAAAAAAAAAAAACACCTGGAATAGCCAGGAACAGTGGTTCATGCCTGTTATCCAGCTACTAAGGAGATCATCCCCAAATAAAAAATTAAAAGGGCTTGGATAGCTGTGTTATAGTGCCTCTGGTTCAATCTTTAGTAGTGAAAAAAAACAAAAAATTCTACAGAAAACACAATGAATGTCCCCAAATACTCAAGTACATATGGGAAACTGAATCTCCATATCACATATAATAAAGGTGACATTTCAAATCAATTTTTTTCAGGATGATTCTGGATTTTTAAAAATTACTTACCACTTCATAATTGGGAGCAAAAATAGATTATTCATTAAGGGGCATTGGGATAACTAATTAGCCATTTGGGGGAAAACACATCTATAGCTCACAATTAATATCAGAATAAATTCAAGCACTCATCTTCGGGCACACATATCCACTCATCCTCCCAAACTCCCCCACCTCTGCAAAGAAATAAAAGGAAACAAAGAAAGAAACCATAAAAGTCCAAAAGAAAACACGAAGTAATTTATTTTAGAATTTTGGAGTAAGGGAGGCCTTCTTAAATATGGCCCATTACCTAGAGAACATTTAGCTAAACAAACTCATATTCATATTTTAAAAATTAAAAATTCCTAATGCTATCTTCTGCAATACAGAAAAGCTAAAAGATTAAGGTATGTGTGGGTGACATGTGCCTGCAGTCCCAGGTACTTGAGAAGCTTGAAATAGGAGGATCACTTGAACCAAAGGAGTTCAAGACCAGCTTGGGCAATATAGTGAGACCTCGCATTTAAAAAAAACAAACTTCACTGTAGGCACAGAAATCATTTCCCAAATTTTTAAAGAATGCTTTTGAGTTCAAAAAAATCTGACACCCTAATAAGAAAAATGGTTGAAGAATATCAACAAAGAATGCTCAGATAAAAAAAAATACAAATGGTCTTTTACAATATGGAAAGGGGGAGTTGGGGGTGTCATTTAGTGGTAGAGTGTTTGCCTAGTATATGCAAGGTACTAGGTTTGATCCCCAGTACTATAATATTAATAACAATAATAAAAATTTTAAAAGGGGAAAGGTCCTCAATTTTATTCAGAGGAATGCAAATTAAAGTTACAATGAGAAATTAATTTTATCTACCAACTTGGCAGAAATCCAGAAGTTTGATAATTCACTGTATTGAAGAGTATAGAAAGACAGGTACTTTGATATAATACTATTAGGAAGACATTTCCTAGTAAAGAAAAGTTGGCAATATTCATCAATTTATAAAATGCACACTTAAAATAAAACTTATCCTACTAATATGCTCATACATGTTTGAAATGACAAGCTGTATTGTTGAAAAGAATGCTCTGAAAACAACCTGAATGTCTTATTCATAGGAAAACTGAATAAATATATTAAGATATAACCACATTACCAGTTCTTTACTAAAATATAGAATAAGTTGGCTGGGAGTATAGATTAGTGGTAGAGCGTATGCCTAACATGTTTTAGGCCCTGGGTTTGATCCCCTGCAATATACTGTTTAAAAAATACACATACACACACACTAAAAAAAAAAAAAACAAGTAGATAAGCTAACTGAAAAAAATCAATATGCAGAAATGAATATAATATATTGTTTTTGTTACATATGGAAGAAAAAGGGAATATATGTATGTGCCTCTGCTTTCTTTTCTTTTCCTTTTCTTTTGAGGTACTGGGGATTGAACCCGGAGGTCTTACCTGTATAAGCAAGCACTCTACTAATGAGCTACATATTTTATTTTGAGACAGGGTCTCATTAAGTTAACCCAGGTTGACTGCCAACTTGTGATCCTTCTTGCCTCAAATTCCCAAGTAGCTGGGATTACAAGCATGGGCTACTGTCCCTGGCTGCTTATTTTCAAAAGGAAAAAAAGAGACTCAAAGGAAAGGTCAATAGGAAAGAAAAATTAAAAAGATTAAGGAATGAATCCAAGAATAATCCAATATCTAAATAACAGAAGAGTTTTAGGAAAAATTCGAAGAAATAATAAAGTTTTTAAACACAAAAAAATTTCAGAACGGAAGGACCAAGGCTTCAGAGGGCCTATAAAGTAATAAAAATATGAATGAAAAAGACCCACATCATAATACAACTTGATGAAATTTCAGGAAACTGATGATAGCACCAGGAAGAATTAGGAATTAGAACAGCAACAGAATCCTTCAAGCTTGGTAAATTAGAAGTCAGGGCAGCACTTCAAAAATGCCAGGGGAAAATTACTTTCTAAAATTCCATACACAGCCCTAAAGAAGCTTTAGACATGTCAGGTCTCGTGTAGTTTACCTCCAATGGACCCCTTTCTCAAGAAGAATGTGTTCTACCAAATGATAGATGAAAGAAAACAATATGGAAGACAGGAAGAGCAAGGGGAATTCCCAGATTGACAGAGAATAAATATTCTAGGCTGATATTTGTATACAGCCCTAGAGATAACAAGCCTAGACTGGAATAAGACAATGGAGACCTCAGAGGGAATTGCTATAGGTTTAAAAAAAAAAAAAAAAAAGAAAAAGAAATATCAGATTATCTAATAGGCCTGCCTTTGTAAAAACTGTACTGCAGGGCTGGGGATGTGGCTCAAGCGGTAGCGCGCTCGCCTGGCATGCATGCGGCCTGGGTTCGATCCTCAGCACCACATACAAACAAAGATGTTGTGTCCGCCGAAAACTAATAAATAAATAAATATTTAAAAAAAAAAAAAAAAAAAACTGTACTGCAGGGCTCTGGAAAATGTGGGAATTGGCCAGCAATAACTAAAAAGAAAACTAAACAAAAAGTCATGCAATTACCAAATTCAGGAAAAAAAAGTACACAAAGAAAAATAATTAAATGGTTACTTATAGTTTGGTAATAAACAATATTTCAAGTCATAAAGACTTAAAACGGGGCTGGGTATGTGGCTCAAGCGGTAGCGCGATCGCCTGGCATGCGTGCGGCCGGGTTCGATCCTCAGCACCACATACAAACAAAGATGCTGTGTCTACTGAAAACTAAAAAATAAATATTAAAAAAAAAAAAGATTCTCTCTCTCTCTCTCTCTCCCCCCTTCCTCCTCTCTCTTTAAAAAAAAAAAAAAGACTTAAAACGTCAAATACTAATTAAGCAAATATAGTGAGTATTATGGGAATACTGGTAAGATGATGAATAGGATGTGGGGTTTAAGACCATGAAATACTCATGTACCCATACAGTTTCCTTGTTTTACTGATCTCCAATAAAAGTCACTAGTGATATGTAACTCAGTCTCCTCCGACATGAAATGTGTTAAATATACAATGGCTGGATTCTTAGCTACAATAAAATTCAGGCCTACATCAGTGTACGAAAGATGTGGGAAAGCCCACAAAAGTGAGAAATATGCTTAATTTCCTACTTATAAGCATTGATATCTAAAGCAAATCATTTATGCTCTCTATATAATCTTAAATTAAGCATGTATCAAAAGGAGCTAATTATCCATGTCTCTTCATAAAACTGTCAAATGAAGGACATACAAAATAGAACATGAGTCATAAAATTAGTTAGGCCTGAGTACAGTCTCACCTCATCCACTTACTCCTTCAGCTCGTACAAGTTATTGTATGTTTCCTCTCTAAGCAATTACCATAACCCACAGCAAGAAATACATTTTACAGTGTCATTCAGTAGACATATCTACACTGTGCTTGTGTATAACAAAAGTTTCACAAAATTATATGCATAAGATTTAAAAAAAAAAAAAACAGAAATAGAATAGGACCATTCACTGAAACAAACAAACAGCAGTGGTGGACCATTAAACTGATTTCATGAATGGGTCATAAACTGCACATTAAAAAATACTCCATAGGGCTGGGGATGTGGCTCAAGCGGTAGCGCACTCGCCTGGCAAAATAAAAAATAAAATAAAGATGTTGTGTCCGCCGAAAACTGAAAAATAAATATTTTTAAAAATTCTCTCTCTTTAAAAAAAATACTCCATAAATTATAGTTTCATCATTAGAAAACTCTTTCACCTATAAAATATAAAACTCCCTTAATCAGATTATTCCATAAAACTCTTATATGTTAGGCATTGTAATAACTGATAAAGTATAATTAAAGCCCAAAGCAAATAACAGACCTTATTTGTTTGCAGCTGTCTATCTCATCAAGGATAGTGGAATGCCATTACATTCATTTATTTTATTAGTAACTATCAGAGCAATAATTGTAACATAATAAAAGCTAAAACTTCAAAAGAGTGCTTATCATGTGCAGGCACCATAATATGTAATTACCCGTATTAATCTGCTTAATCAGAATAGATTCTCTGTAAGGTAAAAACTATTACTATCATTCACACCTATTTTACAGATGAAGAAATTGAAGTACAGGATTAAGTAAATTTGCCAATGGTCACAAAAGGAGCTTCTGTCAGAGTTGGGATACAAACAGGTAAAATGGCTCTATGCTCTTAACTGAAAATGCTACACTGCCTTTATTGCAGAAAAAAATGAGATTAACATAAGCAGATATTAGGTCTGGGCTTTGAAGTCTAGATGAAAGATGTCATCTGGAATAACCAAATAAGATGTGATTTTGCAAGTACTTTCTGAATGCTCTCCCATGCACCAGACATGAGTCCACCCAGGGGAATTCATAAAACAGGGAAGAAATTTGAGCTAAAAGGATGAAATCATAGAAGAGGCAACAGTGATTTTGCTAGAAAAAGGAATGACAGTAATATGGCAATCAGAAAACAACTATTTATTCTTCACAGAAGCTCTTTCAGGGATCCTCTAATCATCTTAGACTAGGAACCTGATGTTCAAAGTCAGAAACTTGACCTATTCCACCTGGTCTCAGACACAGGGCTCTAATTCTATCTCAGGGACCACCTCTGCTTTAATCCACTGGTGCTGATTCAAGGAGAAAGGGGACTAGGCCAAGGTCCTAAATAATTGTCACTGCAATGTAACAGTTTCCCTGAGCCCCTTTCTAATTCCATGCCTTGACACTGGTCTTCCATTCTGCAGCTAATTGTTATGGGACATTCATTTTCATTTTCTTTCTCATGGTCTCCGTGATTCTCTCCTTTTCAAAGCTAATCATTACTCAGTCTCTGTATCCTTTCATCTTCAGTCTCTTGCATCATCAATTAGCTCCCCTCTTTTGCTTGTATTTACAACCTTTTTCTTCCCTTTAAACACACTTAGGCCTCCCCAACCTAAGTAGGATATCACCTAGCAAAAAGATATCCTCTAGAATCTTCCTTTCACTTCTATCTATCTATCTGTCTGTCTGTCTGTCTGTCTGTCTATCTATCTATTTATTGGGGCTGGGGATTGAACCCAGAGGTACTTAACCACTGTACCATATTCCCAGCCCTTTTTTATATGTTATTTTGAGACAGGGGCTCACTAAATTGCTAAGTTGCTAAGGCTGGCTTTGAACTTGTAATCCTCCTGCCTCAGAGTCCTTGCACCACAGCAAGTACTTCCTTCCTCTTAACTCTATGCTCACCAGATATTCTTAAGAAGTTCTTACATCCAAAATAAATAAATAGAATAGAATAAAAAGAAGAAGAAAAATAAAAAGAATTCTTTACACCTAGGTTTTATTACTTTCCTTGGGCAATTTTACTTATTTCAAGAAACTTTACAGCTAGAAAAAACAAAGATGATAAAAGGGTGAATACACTCAAAAAGTGAAAGAAGGAGCAAAAACCATCTCTGGTACCTGAAGGAGGGAAGGTTTCTGGAGTGGTTGCTGCAGTACTGGAATTCCCTTCCCAGGGTTCTGTTCTGGCATCTGTGAATTGGTGATCTGGAAGCCATGTTCCATTTGGTGAAATGGTAGTGCCTACAGAATCGGTGCTTACAGATCGTGTGGTCCCATTGTCAGAGTATGAAGAATTGACAGTGGTTATGTAGGTAGGTCCCAAAGTTATATTTGGGCTGAGTGTTGGTGCCACAGAAAGAGAAGTTACTGATGAGGTTGGATTTGAAGTTCTGTTCTGTTCTTTGACTGATTCTGCTGTTGATGCTTTAATTGATCTTGTAATTTCCAAGGAAGGTGAAACTACAAACAGCAAAACATAAGAAAACATTACACAAAGAATGCGAGACTCAAAAGTTATAACATAAGGCAGTAAACCTTAATAAACTCATCAAATATCTGGAGATCAGACAAAGGCCACACACACACACACACACACACACACACACACACACACATTTTTATCTTAAGTGAATCATTCCTCCAAAGGGCTACCTATGGGAGAAGTAAATGAAATTCTTCACTCAGTTCAACTTTTTTTTTTTCCAGGAAAGATCACATTTCTGATATGTTTAAAATAGTAACATGTAGAACAATGCTAAGCATTCAACACAATTCAGAGATTTCCAAACGTATTTATTTTACTATCATTTTTAAAGAAAAGTTTAAAATTATATCAACTAGGTCTTCAAATCTGGGTCATTATATGTGAAAGTAAAATTCTGTTTCAAATATCAGTTTTATCAAATGACAATTTACCTGTGGTAGCATTACTGGCACTGACGTGTATCAGTCCACTGCCAAACAGAACAAGAAGAAACCAGGAATCCATGCTGACCTGAAAAATGGGAAGTCATGTCAGACGAGGCCCTATATTATTATAACTATGTCCAAATTATTCAAAATACAAGTATTTGGGGAAGCATCCTCCTAGCTGTTAAAATATGTTTACAGGGCCAATGATCTTTATGAAGTCACATTTCTTCAGGAGTTCAACTATTAATTGAATCTTTATACATATAGAAGTCGATCTAAATCAGAACACATTTTTAAAGGCAACTCGATTACACTTTAGAATCACCTGAAAAACTGTTTAAAATTCCCAAGCCAGAATGTACCTCTGTGGGTCACAGCTAGGTAACAGTCCTTTTCCCAAGCTGATGGCTATCTTTATAGTCCAGAGAAGTATCAAGAATGTAGTCTGAATGCATTAATGTACTACTCTTTGAAGTAGACATTATACAACTACTATCAAACTATCCTACCTCAAACCACATAAGACAGCAGCATATTCCCACCAGTAATAGTGACTCATTCATCCATTCAGATTTCTTTGCCCTAATACTGGGCTAGAAATTAGAGGAACAACAGGGAAGCAATTTGCTTATGAACTCCACTTCATAAGACGTCCAGTCTAGAAGTAATTCAATATTGTACTCACTCTTCAAGGGAAAGAGTATATGCTTTCTTAAGGGGCACCTGAAAATCTCAGGGGGGAAGGGCAGAAGTGAGAAAAGACTGAGATGTAGAAGGTTCATATACATCCTGTAAGTTTGCCATGGTTAGCATGGCAATGCCAAGCAGGGGAATGGGTTCAGACAATGGCTTTCACCAGGTGCAGCCACACAAAATTTTGACCACTTCTTCATTCTTTGTGGGTTATGATTATTAAATCAGTGATATCTGTATAACACTGAAAGATCTGGACAGCAAACAAACATTGATCTCTAATAGAAACCAGTTCAATTCCTAACCTTGCTATATTTTAAAATTGGCAATGCACATAATTTTTTCCACGAGGATCAGGAAAATTGGAAGGATGACTATTATATATCCATCAAATCTATTATTGATAAATCAACAGGAAGTTGGGAAAAATAAATATGTAGTTGAGGGGAAGGAGTTAGTGCATCACCTTATTCCACATACCAAAATAAGTTCCAGCTGGGTTAAAGAATTAAATGCTTGCCAGGTATAGTTACACATGCATATAATCCCAGCAGCTCAAGAGGCTGAAGCTCTAAGCCACTCAGACCCTGTCTCAAAAACAAAATAAAAAGGGTTGGGGATGTGGCTCAATGGTTAAGCACCCTGGGTCCAATCCCTATTACAAACAAACAAATAAAATCAAATAGTTAAAAGTCACACTTAAAACGAAGATAAATAAATATTATGTGAGCTCAGGATGAGAAGTTTCTAAGCATAAAGACAACGCAAGAAATTGTGAAGGTAACAATGGAATAAAAAATAAGTAAAAGGGCTGGGTTGTGGCGCAGTGGCAGAGCACTTGCCTCACATGCGTAAGGCCTTGGGTTCCATTCTCAGCATCATATAAAAATAAAGAAATAAAAATAAAGGGGACCATATCTAACTTTAAAATAAATAAATAAATGCCACTAAATGTAAAAGAACTCAATCTTGAACAGATAGGAAAACTCAATAATATTAAGATATCAGTTCTTCCCAAGCTGGTCTATACATCAATATAATCTTGATCAATATCCCAGGTAGTCTATAAATGGCCTCTAAAGTTTATATGGAGAAGCAAAAGACTCAAGAAAGACAACTCAAAATTGAAGTAGAAGAAACAGTCAAAACTGAAACTACCTGACATCAAGACTTACCTACAAAAATACAGTGATTAAGACAGTGCAATGCTGGCAAAAGAAATGCACAAATAAATCAACATAACAGAACAGGACAGACCAGAAATAAACAAACATAAATTTGAAAAAAGAGTAAAGGTAATACAATGGAGCAAAAATAATCCTTTCACCAAATGGTGCTGGAACAACTCACCTACCATCTACCTACAAAAAATTCTAGATCAAACATCACACTTTTCACAAAATGGATCACAGACCTGCATGTAAAACACTAAAGTATAAAATCCCTAGAAGACAACCTAAGAAAAAAATAACTTCATATAATTTTTCCTGTATCCTGACAATGACTTTTTAATAAAACATCAACCAAAGGCACAATTCAAAAAATAAGAAGCAAGAAAAAAAATAAGCTGGACTTCTTTAAAATAAAACTTCCACTCAAGAGAACTAAGCGGGCAAGCCACAGACCAGAATAAAATATTTACAAAAGGCATGATAAAGTGCTATTCTCCAAAATATACAAAGAACTCTCAAAACTCAGAAAATTACATTTAAAAAACAGATAAAAGATCTGAGTAGACACTTTTCCAAAAAAGATAGATGTATAGCAAATAAGCATGTGAAAAAATGAACATTACTATACATATTAAGAATTGAAAAATTAAAACAAGAATGATAGATCATTATACAGAAATGATCAAAATCCAACACTGACAATATCAAATATTTGTGAGAATATAGAGCAACAGGAACTCTCATTCACCCCTGGTGGGAATGCAAAAGTAAAGTCACTCTGAAAAACAATTTGGCAATTTCTTATTTTTTTTTTTTTAAGTTATCGGCGGACACAACATCTTTGTTTGTATGTGGTGCTGAGGATCGAACCCAGGCCGCACGCATGCCAGGCGAGCGCGATACCACATGAGCCACATTCCCAGCCCGGCAATTTCTTATAAAATTAAACATACCCTTATCATACGTGACCAAGCAAGTGTGTTCCCCTGGTGTTTACCCAAATGAGTTGAAAACCTTTGCCCACACAAAAACCTGAAGAGATGTTTATAGCAACTTTATTCATAATTGTCAAAACTTGGAAGTGTAATACAGCCCCTTTGAAATTAAAAGACTCAAAGTGTTTTTTCCTTCCCAACTTCCTGGTATCCGCTTTTCTGCATCTGGAGTTTGCTTGTACTAAGTGGAAACTGAGAAGCTGCCCTCTGGCCTAGGCAGGTGCATGCGCAAACCGAAATTATAACAAGTTCCTATAGCACAGCTCCCCCGGCCCCTGCATAGATTGTAGCCACTTCTATACTAGTGGAAACAGTTTGGTCAAATTGTAATTAAATTCACTTTTCCTTTTTACAATATTTGCTTATTTCTTATGAAGGCAGATGACCAAATGCAGTCAGCCAGGACCTAGGCAGGTTCTCTGGCTTGGCTGGCCAAAACAGAAGCAACCAAGATATAAACTGGTATGAAATATTATGCACTGTTATTATTGTGATGCCTTCTGCTTCACTTTTTTCGCTGAGGACTGCTTTGACTATTCTGGACCTTTTATTTTTCAAAATGAATTTCATGACTGCTTTTTCTATTTCTATGAAGAACGTCATGGAATTTTAATAAAAATTGCATGAAATCTATACAGTGCTTTGGTAGTATGGCCATTTTGGCAATATTAAGGAATTAAATCTTGCAATCCTAGAACACAATATTTTCTTCATTTATTCAAGTTTTTATGTCCTTAAAATATTCTTTTTCACCCAACACATTTCTTCCTGTATTTATTCTGGAGTATTTTATACTACATTATACTATTGTCATTTATGGATTATTTTCGGCGGGGGGCTGGGGATTGAACTCAGGGACCCTCAACCCACTGATCCACATCCTCAGCCCTATTTTGTAATTGGATTTAGAGATGGGGTCTTACTGAGTTGCTTAGCACCTCATTTTTGCTGAGGCTGGTTTTGAACCTGAGATCCTCCTGTCTTAGACTCCCCAGCGGCTGGAATTACAGGCCACACCACTGCACTGGACAATTTAGGGATATTTTTTAAAAATAAGAAAGTCATTGGTTTTTCCTCTTCCACCATTACACATTATCAACTATGGGGAAAAAAAGGTAAGGCATGTTCATTAAAAGAAGTGCAAACCAGAGGGGTGTAAAACATTCACCACCTGCTAGTCCCATTTCCCAAAAGGGATTGCTAAATACTTCTTTCTATTGCCTTCAGAAGTTTTCTGTACTACATGAGTGTATAGCCACACTTAAAATATAAACAGAATTCTATTATACATGTCTGCAACTTACATTTTTTACTTATACAATAAATCTTAAACATATGCCATTATCAATACATAGTTATCTTTCTTGTCAATGGCTGCATAGTGTTTAATCATATGGATACACCAGTTATTTTAACTATTTGCTTTTGTTAAGTGATTTATATACAATTTCCTCTCCTGTCTTATACATCATTTTCTATTAGGCAACAATGCCCTGAGTAAAAACAGAATTTTATAGTCCAGAAAAGACACAATAATGGGAGAAACCCAAGTTTATAACTGTTCATTTTTCAAAGCACACTTTGTGAACCACAAGCTTTTGGTTAACTGAGTACAGACAACTGAACAAGGAGATTTGGGGAGAAGAGTCATGAAGTCTGGGCATTTCCCTAATATACTGGACACAATGGCACACACATTGTGTTCTCCTTCCTGTTCCACCCACTCAAAAGGCCAATATATGGTCCTTTCATTACAAAAATATTTCTTACTAACTTAAAATAATATTTCTACTGTATATACATTAGGTTGCTCAATTAGCAAAGTTCAACATTCAAATAACAAATAAAAGCAAGATGCCATTAGTAACAATAATTTCAAAAATACTGAATGTCTAAGAACATTTCCTAAATATACTTAAAATTCAAATTCAGCATTGTAGATTTGAGATATTTTCTATGGATATATGTGGAAGCTCTCAACTCCCCAGTGGGCTCTTAAATCACTCCCAATCTCCCACTGGCTGTTAAATCATTCACACCTGCTCTCTCATCACAAAAGCCAAGTTTCTCTGAGCATTCTGTATGCCTCATTTCATTTAATCCTTATCAACCCTGTTACACTGATATTGGTGTTATTATGATTTACTGTGCTGTGTACCTGGAGGTGTCTCTCTTGAATTACAGAAACTTTGAATGTTTAGTCCACAGACAATTGATTAAAC